GCGCGGCGCCCGCCGTCGTGGGCACGGCTGACGCCTCCACCCTGGCGGTGGCGGCAGACCTCTTGTTGCGGGGGGGGGGAGGGGGGGGGGGCGGGAGAGGGGGGCCGGGGAGAGGAGGGCGGAGGGGAGGAGGCTCCTATTCCCTTTCCTTCTTCTAGTCCTCGTCCTCGTCCTTGTCCTCGTCCTCCTCCTCCTCCTCGTCCACCTCTCCTCCTCCTCCTCGTCCTCGTCATCCTCCGCCTCCTCATCCTTCTACCCTTTCCTCCCACCTTTTACCTCCTCGTCCTCCTCCTCCTCCTCCCGCTTGCAACCTGGCACGCGTCGGGCAGGAATACTGACTGGTTGCGGATGCCGTGCCCTCTCCGCCGCCTTCTGTTCCCCCCTCTTCCCTCCGAGGGTGTGCGGGGCTGCATGTTGCCGTGCATGCAAAAACATCAAATCCTCCGCCTATTCATGCCCCCCCATTCCCCCCTCCAGCGGATGCCTCATTCTGGCCGCGCCCTGATCCAGAGGGCGACGCTCGCACGTCCAAACCGCATCCCCCGCAAGGTCGGTGCCCTTGGATATGTCCTGCTCCTCCTCCCCCTCCTTTTCCTGCTGCTGCGCATGTCTCCTCCTCTACTCGGGGGTGGGGAGCAGTGATCTTTTGTTGTTTTGGTAAGGAGCATGAGGGGCAGGAGGGAGGAAGGATGAATCTGATGAAAGTGATTGCGACGATGAGGGAGGGGCAGGGTAAGTTGAGTGGACTTTGACAAATGACGATGACTGTGCGTGGAAGTGCTGGGCATGACGGGGGCGCTCTTCCGGGAGAACCCAATGTGCCTTCAACTGTGAAGGGGCCTTTTCATCAAAGACTGCCCAAAGCGCCTCGTAACGCTTGACGAAACCGCCCAATTGTGTCCGTGGATTGCGACAAGACTTGCAGGGAGCGTTGACCCTAAGGTTCTAGTGGGTTGTTTGGGGCAGGGGGCCCCAGGGAGAAGTGGGGGAGGGGAGGGGGATCATATATTTTCATAAATGAGGTCGACGGTGATGATAGTGGCGATGATGGTGAGGATGGTGATGACGATGACCCTGGTGAAGGTCCAGCCGACTCAAGGAGGCAACGGCCAGGACAAGCTGGGCCGTGCATCCGCCCCCGGGGCGAGCCCACCCTACCCCGAGCCCACGCGATAGGCGCAGCCCCTGCGCAACAGAAAAATGCTCCCTCGCCGCTGACGAAAAGGGGGCACGGGGCCCGAACCCGATCCCCCGAACCGAAGCTCCAAGGGTGGTGCGCGAACCCGGTATTGACTGCCTACCAGACCACCCCAACCCAACCCGAAGACCCGAATTTCGGGTTGGGGGGGGGTCAGGGTTCCATCTGTGTTTTTCACTGTTCCCCGACCCCCCCCCCACTGGAACTGGAGGGCACATGGAGGCCTTCGGGCTGGGTTGGGGGTGACTTGGTGGGCGGTGAGGTATGTGCCCGCCGCTGCCCCCTGGCGGACGGCAGCGGCACCACCGAGCTCGTCTCCACAGCGCGGCACGCGCGGTGGCCGCCGCCGCGGCCGCCGCGCACGAGGCGCCCGAGCGCGGGCAGCGCGCGGCGGCAGCTGGCGGGCGGCGGCGCGGTGAGCGGCCGCCGGCAGGCGGCCCCGCTGGGCTACACGGCCGCCGCCGCGGAGGCGGGCGGCGCGGCAGGGGCCACCAAGACGCGGTCGGGGAGACGCGCGACTCGGGTCCGGGGGGCCCCGGGTTTCGGCCTGGCGGGGCCATCGGGACAACGACGAGGCTCAGGCTGGAACTTTGCACGCGAGCTCCTGCTGGGAACGTCCCACGGGAGCTGGGCCGTCGAAGTGCAGGCCGGGTTCGTCAACACGCGTGCGCCGCCACTTAGGCGCGGGTTGCCAAGCGCCCGCTTGCACGGCACGCCCCGATCAGGCAGCGCGCACCGAGCTGGCGTTGGCACCGCGCCGCCAGCAGGACACCACCTTGCCAGCAGAACACCACCTTGCCGTCGCACGCCGTGTACAGGCTGTGCGTGGCGTCGAACCTCGTGCCCCGCCAGGCGGCCTCGGCTCGGCCTGCCGCGGCTGCGGCGCGGCGGCAGGCGGCACCTGCGGGCACGGCGCTGGGTCTACCTGCACTCTCGGTCGCACGGCGCGGGCTGCGGACGCAGGCGGGCCCGTGGAGGCGAGCACAGCTCCTTCTCCAGGTGTGGTCGCTCCACGCTGCTTCTGCGAGCCGCTGGCCGCGGGCGTGGGCGGCCCCGAGGAGCTCAATGCCAAGACTGCGCCTCGGCGCTGCGGGAGAGCTGCTGCTGGAGGGTTAGCCAGCGCCATCGCCGCCGCTCCCAATGCCCTGGCGGCGTTGGTCACGGGGCTCGGGCTGGCCGCCCTCTTGCCGCCGCCGGCCGCCACCTTCGAAGTCACTGCCAGAGCCGTTGCTGTCGACATCGCTGAAGCCCTGGGGGCCGAGGGAGGCGGAGACGTCCGACAAAACCTCTGCGCTGATGGGCGGCTGGTTGGTGGGCATCTTCGGAGACTGCACCTCCATCCAACTCCTGGTGTCTCGATTCCGCTCTCGCTGCCGCCTCCATTCCTCCATCCGAGCTTGCGGAGCGTATCGAGGTGGGCCGCGCACCTGTTGCGCCTGCGCTCGCTTCAGGTCCAGGCAAACGCCCACAGCTCCCTTCCAGCTATGGCCTGACCTGCACCGTGGGCGCTAGGGCCGCGACCAAAACGTAGCCCAGGTAGTGGTACGTGTATGGGGCGCACCACTGCATGCAGCCAGATCTCGACTGGTCCCGTGGCAGCAAGTCGGTGACGATTCAGCGCTGCGTCTCGCAGTGCAGGCCTCGCTCGAGGCTCTTGGCCTGGCGTTGGGAGGCCCCCCCTTGGCCTGACGCCAGGCCTGGCTGCGGCGTGGCGCGCGGAGCGCCTCGGTCGTTGCCCGTGGCGCGGCAGCGCCCGCGGGCGACAACAGGCCGTCGGCACGCGCGGCCTGGGGCCAAGAAGGGCGGGGTCCGCCACCGGGGTGGCGGCCCCGCTCCCGGGCCTCGGGCCCCTCGCGGCAGCCGCCGTGGGTGTGTCGGCCAGCGGGGGTGTCCGGGTCCCGCGGGCAAGGTCATTCTCACCGAGCCCCCTTTCGACCCCACGGGGCACGCGCGGGCGGGTGTAGCGGCCGTCGGGGGGACGAGCCCGTTCCCGCCCGCGTCCACCCCGTCCTTCCCGTGCCCTGCGGGGCCGGCGGCGTGCTGGTCCATCGAGGCAGCCGCCTCATGCATCGACCAACGGGGGGACGTGCCAGCCCCCCCCCCCTCACGGAGCACCGTGGTGGCAGCATGCCAGGTCTCTGTAGCCCGGGCCTCCAACGGCGCAGGCGGCCACGGCATGGCGGCGGCAAGCGCGGCACTTGATCGCCTGCATGCATGGCGCATCGCATCCGTTGGCCATGAGGAGGGCGTGTTCAGCCTGCATGGCTTCGCCCAGCCAGCGGCACGTGGCGTAGGCGATGTCGTCGATGCGCTCGATAAGGATCAGCAGCGCGTCGTCACCCGCGTGCTGGTGGGCCGCGTGCTTCGCCCACAGGTCGGCCTGCTTGTTGCCATCACGCAGGTCCGCGTCGATGAGGCTTTCGTGGACACAGAGCATTGACGAGTGGGCCTGCACCTCGATTATCGTAATCTTGGACGGATCAGCGTCGTCGATCAACCTCTAGATCTCGACCCACAAAGGACGATGATGATGCTGATGATGATGAAGATGATGATGATGACGACAACGATTTCAATGACGTTGATGATGGTGATGATGGTTGTAAGGATGAGGAGCAGCAGAAGACCAGCGATGATAATCATAAGAGATGATGACCATGATGATGGCACCGTTGCCGACGACGACGGCGCTGTTGCTGCTGCTGCTGGTGACGGTGATGAGGATGATGATGACGCTGATGATGATACTGATGCTGATAATTATGATGCTGATGCTGATGATGATGGTGCTGCTGCTGATGACGGTGATGCTGATTATGATGATGATGATGACGATGGTGGTGATGATGATGATTATGGTGATACTGACGACGATGCTGATGCTGATGATGGTGGTGATGGTGATAGTGATGGTGATGATGGTGATGATGGTTATGATGACGACCATGAGGATGTTGACTTTGCTGATGTCCATGACGAGCATGACGACAACCACGACGCTCGTGGTGGTAGTCCTGGTGGTTGTGCTGCTGCTGCTGAAAGAATACGACGATGATGCTGCTGTTGATGATAATGATGATGATGATGATGATGTTGATGATGATGATGATGATGATGATGATGATGATGATGATAGTGGTGGTGGTTTTGGTGATGGTGATAATGTTTGTGATGATGACGACCGTGATGATGCTGACTTTGCTGATGTCCATGACATTCCTGGCAGTGGTTGTCATGTATATGGGACTCGTGGGAGCTGCAGGGGGTCTCCAGGGGGTCACAGGAAGAGGGATAAGGAGGAGGGGGAGGGTGGAGGAGGGAGGAGGAGGGAGGAGGAGAAGGAGGATGAGGAGGAGGAGGAGGAGGAGGAGGAGAAGGCGAGGAGTGAGTAGAGAGGAGGAGGAGCCAGGAGAGCAGGAGGGAAGAAACGGATGAGGAGCGCTACCGTCTGAGAGGAGGGAAGAAAGGTCAATCATTAAACCACATCTAGATGCAAGCCCACCGTGGCAACCTGAAGGCCTCGCAACCCGAGCTCTGCCAGGCACAAGTCCCGGGTAAGTAAACGTGCCGTCTTTTGGATCTGGCAAAGCAAGGGCGATGAGGAAAAGAAGGAGCAAGAGGAGTTGGAGGAGTTGGAGGGAAACAAGAGGTGGAGGATAATCTCGCAGATCGCGAGAATGACGAACTGAAGAACGAGAGGTCGCCCGGGTGCCCGGAACCGCGCGCGACCCCAGCAGAGCGCGCGCCCGGCCATTGCGGCGGTCACGGGCCGCACTCGCAAGGCGAGGGCCGCGGCCAGGCGTCACTGAAAGCTCTGGTAGACCTTGCCGCGCGGGCGGGGGGGCCGAGTTGCTGGGCGGGCGAGAGGGGAGCGTCACCTGGAGGATGGATGGATGGACAGCGCCTTGAAAGGTCGGGAGATGACAGCACCAAAAGCGTTGGGGGGATCGACCCGAGTTAAACTGCCCCTGAAGCTCTTGCCTCTTTTCTAGCTTTGATGCGGGCGGCAAGGGCCAGTGTAAACCCAAGACCCATCAGCGATATTGCAATAAACCCTCCCTCCAAGTTCCCCTTTCATAGGCCCCTACAAAAGTTCATCTCCACTGAACGAAGTGCCCCGTTGGAAAACAGGCGCTCGAAATTACTGAACTGTTTCAAAACACAAACTTTGGAACTCGCGAGTTACAACTAGTGTTCCGTCGTGACGGTCCTGAACCGTGCCAAAACACCATTCCCGGGACGTCAACACCACGAATCAATGTAACTGTTGCTCCCTGGCGCTCCTGCATTGTACCAAAACGCGCTTTCTGGGACCCTCGCCAGGATAATCCTTGAAACTGTTGCGAACTCCCAAGACGAACGCGCGCGGCGCAAAAACGAAAACAACATTTTGAAAACGAACCGCCGTCAATCCATGACACTCTTGCAGACTTTGACAACCTTTTGAAAACCACCCGTCTCCCATCCGTGAAAATCTTACAACACAAATGTTCAAAACGGATGTGCGCGGCGCTAAGGCGAGAACCACACTCTGAAAAACGCCCGCTCTTCATCCGTGAAACTCCTGCAAACGTTGAAGAGGGACGTGCCCGGCTCCAAGGCAAGAGCCACATGTGGAAAACTACCCGCCCTCCATCGGCGAAGATCTTGTATCTTAATGGAGATGCGCGGCGATCAGGCGAGAACCACAGTTTGATGACCACCCGCCCTACATCCGAGAAGCTCTTGCGAATGTTTGCAACTGATATGCGCGGCGTTAAGGCGAGAACCACATGTTGATAACCACTCGCC